ATTAGCTTTCATTGACTTCTTATACTTATACTTTTGACCTCTTGTGGACCCGTTTTATCCTCGTCGCCAATTGATATGTCCGTACTTGAGAATAGTGGATTTATTTAAGACTTTTTAAATAAAAACATGTTTGGATGTAATCCTTTATTTCTGACATTTTTCCCAATGACATTTTATCTATCCCTCAACCAATGACGTATAATATATAGACTCGGTGAACGCTTTAAAAAGTGTCCAAAACATGAATATCTTTGTTATTGTTTATTGTTTTGATACGAAGATGCACGAAGTTCATGATTTCTTACGAAGCATCACGAAGTTGATCTTGTGTTTGAAAACATCATGGACGTATGAAAACATTTTCTCCATTGTGAGTGACAAGCAAATTTTATTTTAAATTGTTGAAGTCATTTACTTACTATTTTAGTAAAATGCCATACTATTTTATCAAAATAATTATTTCTCTTATAGACGGGAACAAATAGAAAGTATAAATATTTAATTTTAATTAAAAAAATAATTATTGTCATTAACATAAAAATGAGCACGTCGCTGTTCTGATAAACATACCTTCAACCTTGAGCCGAGATCTTTCGGACACTCGATTTTATAGCGAGAATAGGGGACTGCGTAGTCTATATATTATACGTCATTGCCCTCAACGATACCTAACCTCTAAGCGTGTTCCGTAGCAAACTAAAGAATACAATATCAATATGTTCGGAACACAATTACACAATACATCACAGGAGACACTTTTTCAAGATCAAAGAACGGATTATAGGCATCCATTTTCAGAGAGGATGACGGGCCCGGACATACTTAAATCCGAGGTAGAAGGAGCAATAAAACGGATGAAAAGCAGGAAAGCTGTAGGGCCTGATAACATCGAAGCTGAATTTTTAAAACTCTTGGAGGAAGAAGGAATAATTTGGATCACGGCTGTCTTCAATAAAATATACAATACAGGAATCATCCCTGATAAATGGCTAGAATCAGAATTCATAGCGATACCTAAAAACAGGGGGCTAAAAAGTGCAAAGAATATCGAACAATCAGCCTAATGAGCCATATGTTGAAACTGTTTCTTAGAGTCATCCATGGAAGAATTTATAAGAAGTGCGAGGAACAAATATCGGACAGACAGTTCGGCTTCATTAACGCAGTGGGTACCAGAGAGGCACTTTTCGGAGTACAGGTACTGATTCAAAGATGCAGGGACGTTAACTGCGACGTATACGCGTGCTTGATCGACTATGAAAAGGCATTTGACAGAGTTCAACATCAAAAGATGATAAACATTTTAAAAGAGGCAGACCTGGATGACAAAGACCTCAGAATAATTTCAGAACTCTACTGGAATCAGACCGCATATATATCGGAGAAGAAACATATCACATAAAAATACTACGTGGAGTTAGACAGGGATGTATCCTATCGCCGTTGATATTTAATATGTACTCAGAGAAAATTTTTAACGAGGCTCTTTACGGAATAGACGAAGGCATCCTTCTAAATGGTGAAAGAGTAAACAATGTTAGATATGCCGACGACACCATGGTGATAGCAGATAGTTTAGAGGGACTTCAGAGGCTAATGGACAGAATAAACGAGTACAGTCAACAGTACGGACTAAACATTAATACCCACAAAACGAAACAAATGATTATCAGCAAGAAGAATATAAACGGGGCTCATCTATAAATTAATGGGACGCAGATAGAGCGAGTAAAACAGTATTGTTACCTGGGAACTATTATTAACGAATAGTGGAGCAATTTACAGGAAATAAAGTGCCGCATAGGAAAGGGAAGAACGGTCTTTAACAAAATAAGCGCCATCTTCAAAAGTCACAACATATCCCTTGATACAAAAATGAGACATTTGAGATGCTATGTTTTCTCTGTGTTGTTGTACGGGGCGGAGGCATGGACGCTTACAGACACCACTATTAAAAAACTTAAAGCATTTGAGATGTGGCTTTATAGAAGCATGCTGAGAATATCATGGACAGCAAGGATCACGAACAAGGAAGTTCTAGGAAAAATGAAGAAGGAACCAGATATTGTGTTTACGATCAAACGCATAAAATTGCAATATCTGGGACACGTTATGAGAAATCAGCACCGTTACTCCCTGCTACAGTATATATTGCAAGGTAAAGTCAAAGGTAAGCGAGGACCCGGTAGAAGGAGAATATCATGGCTGCGGAATTTAAGAACATGGTTTAAGAAAACCTCAACGGAGCTGTTTCGAGCCGCAGCGAGCAAGGTTATGATTGCCAATATGATTTCTAACATCCGAATCGGATAGGAGCCAGAAGAAGAAGAAGAAGAACCATCACTCCAGCAAGATATTTAGATATAAATGCTTTATGTTTTACTGAAACTTGGGACTCGTCCTGGAATAAAAATGGAATAGCAATAAATCCATTAACCAGGCTAGGTTCCAGATCCGTGAAATCCAATTACCCAACAAGAGGTCAATTCCATATCCAATAAAATAAAAAATCAATACTGTAATGAAAACCTACATTCTACCAGGTATTAATTAAGTTATTAATAAATTGTAGCAATATCATCAACATTATAAACTTTCCATCCAGCAGCCCTACATAGAAATGCATAGCAAGTTAAGTGTTTCATTGGGACATTTTTCTGAAATATTCAGGCCCCCAGCCACTTTTTTATCTTTGTTTGTTCAGTCATTTTTTTACTTCGTCGAGGACTTGCTGTACCATAGAGGCATATATTTCTTTATTAAAAAAAAGTTTGTTTAAATTTTTGTGTTAAGCTTTGATCTCCCTTGTGATCATTCTTGACATCACTATTTGTCTTAGGGATTAGCCGAATTACCACTCAGAACTAGCTAGGGTAGTGATCTTCATGATTGTCTTTGTGGTGGTGAAGAGGAGATACTTTAGCTAAAGTTGACCTCCTTACGATCTTAAGTCAATCGTGGATTTCAAAATGGTATAACCCACGTGGTTAGAGAACCTTACACATCGGCAATTAGTTGGGGCACATTATCAAATATATACAAATCCATGATACTATAAACTACAGATAAACCCACGCGCACGCGATCAGTCGTGTGACGTCACTTGGCGACAAATGTCACAAGAAATGTTCTGTGTTGTATGGAGTTTTGTCAGATTTAGTCAAGGTTAGTAGATATTTAAGTATATACTTAAATATCTACTAACCTTGAGATTTAGTTTTGTTTTATCGTTTATCTTGTACGTTGACATCGGTTTACTGGGTAAACCATCTTTCCGAAGGAGGTTTACTTAAACCATATCCAGATTTTCTAATTAAATGTAATGAACTGGACCATATTTTTAACAATTTTAACAAAGGGTCATTAAAATTAACCAAGAATTATTTAAAATCGCTAATGGATTTAGCTGTGTTCAGATGTAATGTTAGTAAAGGTGTAAATTATATTTTAAAATTGGAAAATTGAATAGATATATTAAAGAAACATCCAAAGTTAAGAAGAAGAAAATATTAAAAATTGTAAAATAAATAAACTTGTAAATTATTACAGTGTATTTTATTTTATCAGTTGTATTAAATTTTTATTTTAATAAATCAATCCATTGTATATAAATTTCCATTTGCAAAAGGATGTTTAGTTCTTACTTTTTTATATAATTTTAGTTTACATTGCTAGGCTAACAGAGATATATATATATATATATATATATATATATATATATATATATATATATATAACATATTTTTAAGATTTAATTGCAGATATTTTACCTAACATCCCTTCATATTTTAAATATTTAAATAAAAACCCTCTTCTTTCCATATATATATATATATATATGTTTTACCGACTGTGATGAAAAAGGTTGGTGATAAAAGTGACTTTTATCACCAATTGACGTCATGCGCGTCGATGTACAAAATTCAATTCCGAAGTGGGTTTATCTTGGAAGTCTTAGTATCATGATACAAATCTATCATCATCAACGTTGTCATCAAATTTAAGATTTCTTTAAGATTCAATATGTAAATTTTAAGCCACATAATGCAGACACGTATATTTTGTGGCTACATACTTTTATCTGGATTCACTGATAATGTTTTGATACATGTACAAGGTTCAAGCGTGTCACTAGTTGGTTCAAGCCTTCCTCTGAAATGGCAAACACTCAGAAAAGAGAGCCATTGATGAATTGTTGCAAAAGGGATCTCTGTAATGGTTAAGTAACACTCGATGACAGAAACAGGCTAAACTTATCGTCGAAGAATACACGATCAAATTTACAGCAGACTTACTGAACCTCCGTAGTACATTTGTTAGGATGAAGTGGGTCTGTTGACCGGCCTCTTTAAGCTCAAATATTTTAGTGGTATAAGCTTGATAGAGAGGATGTTTGTCAATTCTGTCTAAAAGATTATGCTGCGCTGTATGTTTTTGTCATTTTGTAGGTCTTGCAAGACTCAGCTTTCTAGTACTCGGCGAATAAAAACCAAAACGCCAGGTCATACATCATTAAAAGCCACTAGAAATGTTGTTGAATCTTACCAAAAACAGAAGGCTTGATCACGTATTTTAAATAATACAGATAAATAAAATTTATCTGTAAAAGGTCACACTGTAACAGACTGTAAGCCGCCCTAAATTGTAAGCTCTAATCTCTAATCCATCATATTTATTTTACTACTTTCATATATACTGCATAAATTTATTTATTGTTTAACTTCTTCTTCTTCATGTACCATGTCCTTTCAGAACGATGGTTACCATCATAGCTATTTTAATTTTATCCACTGCCACCCTAAATAGCATGCTTGTATCTACACCACACCAGTCTCGCAAGTTCTTCAACCATGAGGTTCTTCTTCGTCCTGGACTGCGTTTGCCTGCTATTTTTCCTTATTGCTTAACGTTCACGACACAATCTCTTGACGTACACTATACTCATATACTTTCTCAATATCAATAAAACAAATTATTTGTAAATATAAAAAAAATCGTACCTTTTTCGCTTTTTCATCCACGTAGGACACCACAGTACGTCTGTAGTATAGTTCAACGCTATAACTCTAGCATTTGGACAATCCTTTGGTATCCAGTCTCTAGGCCAACAGTCACTATAATCCTCAATCTTCTTCGTTTCATCTTCGTCGTTATATTCTTTATTTTCTTCACTTGATTCATTTTCTTCCCTTCTGGCTACTTTGTTGGGTATTTTGGAATAAATACTTGAAAGCGTTCTTTTTAACGTATGGTCTTTGGTTGGGACATACATATCGCCTGTTGATAACCTTCTCACAGGCGATTGTTTGTTGAGCTTGTGGGAGCTTGTTCTCCAAACTCCTAAAAAGCAAGATAATTACTGAGTAAAGTAATAATTATTAATAAAGTAATTTAATTAAGTAAATAAGCTTCACAGCGGTCACGTTTTGTATATTTGATAGTATAAATTAATTATAAAGGCTACGAGATGCGAAAATTGTGTCAAAAATGAAATTCTAGATACAACCTAACTATTGGACATAAATCATATAAAATCTCCATTAAATATTTTTCAAAAATCAAGCCTATTATCAATAAAGACAGTTAATCGGATATAGTTTATAAAAGAAATTGTAAGGATTGTAGCTCAACTAGCTCTATATATTGGAGAGACGCATCAGTATTTACATGGACGAGTTATTGTACATAAAAAAACATAGAAACAATATACCAAAAACTAGATGTTAAAAATCTACAAATTTTGGAAAGTTCGTCAAATTATAATAAAAGTTATGTATTGAAGATGACGCGTTAGACGATGAAGTGGACGGCGTATGCTCCGTTATACCGTATATATGTTAGACACAATAAGAAATATCTCATCTAAAGAACCATTCATAATCATGGGCGATTTTAACGCTAAGGTAGGAGAAACAAGAAATGATATCCAAAACGTAGGAAACTATGTGTTAGGTATTAGAGGCAAACGTTTAATAGATTTTGCAACCGAAAACAGATTGGCCATTGTAAACACTATGTTCAAACATCATGCCCGTCGTTTATCGACGTAGACCAGCCCAAATGGAGAATACAAGAACCAAATCGACTACATCTTGATTAGAAACAGATGGAAGACGTGTTTTACAAACGTAAAAAACTAGACCAAGAGCTGAATGTGGATCCGATCATAAATTGTTATGGGCTTGCTTCAAGATGAAGCTAAAAAGAACAATGCCACACCAAAATCAGAACAGACTGGAGATTTCAAATCCGAAAACGTTAAGCGATGCATTAAAGGCAACTAGTATGTTGAACACACAAGACAACCCAGAAGAAATGTGGAAAGGTTTCAGAAATGAGAAAGAACCAGAACCGAAAAAAGGATCATCAAGAGAAAACACTGGATGGCAGACAGAACGCTGCAACTTCTCGAAGAGCGGAGGAGAATCAAATCTCTTATATATCAAAACGACAGTAACGAAAACGAATTAGCAAGGTTAAATAGAGAAATTAAAAGAGCATGTAGGGATGATAAAAATAAACACATAAATGAAGAATGCGAAGAACTAAAGAGACACGCAAACCGGTATGAATCACATGAGCTATATAACAAAGTCCGATAAATATCCAGGGAATTTAAACCAATCACACAAACAATAATATATGATCCCCAGAATGCAAATCACGACGAGTTCACTGCAGAGAGAGAACCAAATATTCTACAGAGGTAGAAAAAGCAATCAAAAAGTTAAAAATAGAAAATCTTCTGGCGCAGACCAGATCACCGCAGAAGTTTTAAAAGAGACTGGAGATGTTGGAGTAAATGTTATACATATGTTCTATAAAAAGATTTGAGAAACCGGAGAGTGGTCCACATCCACCGGACAACATCCACTTTCATCCCTATATTCAAAAAATAAACTCCGCTAGATTGCAGCAACTACAGAACGGTAACCCTAATATCCCATGCAAGCAAGGTTCTACTTCATGTAATATATGAAAGACTAAAAGCTTTTCTATTGCCTGAGATATCAGAAGAACAAGCGGGATTTGTCCCAGGAAAAGGCACAAGAAAACACATCCTTTATGTCAGATAGCTAATCGAAAAAACTCGTGAATTCAATATTCCTACGCTTATGTGCTTTGTGGATTACACACAGGCCTTCGATAATGTCAAATGGCAGCAGCTATGGTCCATACTAGCAGAAATGGGAACACCCCATTACTTAATTCAACTAATTAGAAGTCTATATGAAAATTATAAGTGCACAGTAAAAATAAACAACACCCTTTCCGATCATTTTACAACAGAGGCAGGTGTCAGGCAGGGATGAATAATCTCGCCAACTCTATTTAATATCTACAACACATTATGCGAAAGGTACTAGACGGATGGAAGGGTGGAATATAAGTAGCAAGTAAAAAAATCAGTAACTTGAGATATGTTGATGACACTTTAATAATCGCGGCAAATCAAGAAGAAATGGAAGACATAATGAGATGTCTGGAGGAGAAAAGCAAAACATATGGACTAAAGCTAAATAGAAGTAAGACAAAAGTCATGATAGTAGACAGAGCTCGGAATAATCTTCAACACATTAAAAAAATTAAGGGCTTTGAAGTAGTAAATAGTTTCATATTCCTGGAGTCCCTAATAACAAATGACGGAGGGTGTGAAAGAGAGATACGTAGAAGGTTGACTATTGCTAAAACAGTTATAATGAAACTGGTAACAATTTGGAAAAACTCTAGCATAACAATACACACAAAACTAAGGCTGGTAAGGGCACTCATTTTTCCCATAGCCACATATGCATCCGAAACGTGGACCTTAAAGAAAGCGGATAAAAATAAACTGGACGCTTTTGAATGGGTATACCGCCGCATGTTAAGAATATCTTGGATTGATCATCGCAACGTATCGATATTAGAACAACTTAAAGTAAAGGATATATTGCTTAAAGAAATGCAACAGAGATATTTGCAGTATTTTGGACACATTGCTAGAAAAACAGGCACGATGGACAAACTGATAGTCGAGGGTAGAGTTTAGGGAAAGAGACCTAGGGGAAGATCTCCAAGCCGTTGGGTAAATCAAACAAAAATATTGATTAACCAAGGGTTACATGAAGCCGAACAACTAGCCCAAGACAGGGAAGGATGGAGGGAAATCATGAAAAATCTGTAAAGGCCTGATGGTGTCACCACATCCCAAAAGAGATTAGGACTGAGGAGGAGGATTGAAGATGAGTCTTATTAAAAACGAACCAGTCCGTATTAATAATAAAATTGCTCTCTTCATCAAAAACCTCTCCAATATAATATATTATAATTTAATTAATTATTAATCCTTGAAAGCCTTAGCTACGACACTGTTTGGACATCAGTAAAGTGTTTTATTAATTTCAAACCGATAACCAAGGAAATTCATACACAAGTACTATTTATGAATAACAATATATACGTCCTATAAGTGTGAATATTCTTACCTTGTTTCCATGTTTTATTGATTGCCCCGTGAAGCCCATGTAAAAATATAACGTCTATTTCGATATCTTCTGGTTCAAATAAAACCAAACAATCAACCGATTTTTCCGGCGTTTCGGACTCAGTATCTTCATTAGTGTCGCTAATCACAGCTCTGTCACATCCATCTGGACCCCGGGTTATTCTTAAAGTTACTGAAAGTCAATATAAATTAATTTAACGGTAATCCATAAAAAATGGTTGCTTAAAGCATACAGCAAGAAGCTAAAGAGAATCTCCACCGTAGAAATCCTGCTTTAGTGGTAAAATGTTTATTCTAGTGAGTTTATTTATATTTGTATAAGTCCCCAATGCTTTTTACAAAATTAGTCTCTCTTACATTTAAGCGATAAAATCAAAATTTTTCCCAGATATTCGAACTTCTACGATATTATTACAACATTTTATCTATTATTTACACTAAATATTTGCTTAGTTAGTTCATTTTTATATCAATTAATACAGGTAGATTATTACTAAGGTACAATAAGATCATCTACAAAATTAGACACTAAATACTGCAGAATGCTAAGATCATCATTGGCTTTTACAACTCTTCGTGAGTTTTTGCCGCGTTTACTATTGCCTTCCATTGATTCCGATCCTGTGCTATTATTTCCCATGGCCTTACTTCCATCTTCTCCAGGTCTTCCCTGACAGCGTCTTTCCACCTTTTTCTAGGCCTTCCTGTCGATCTTTTACCATCTGGTCTTTCCCAAAATACATTGCTAATCAGTCTGTCGTCATCACTCCGTACCACGTGGCCTGCCCATCTTAATCTATTGGCTTTTATGTATCTTACGATGTTGCCTTTCCCGAAGAGAGTCTCTATTTCATTGTTGTATCTGCTCCTCCATTCATTTGTCACGCTGTCCCTGCAAGGACCATATATAATTCGCAGGATTTTGCGTTCCCATACTAATAGCTTATTGATTTCTTTCTTTCTCAATGTCCATGTTTCACTTCCATATGTCACTGCTGGTCGTATTATGGTTTTGTACATTTGGATTTTGGCACGCCTTGAGAGAAGCTTTGACCTCATTAGATGTTGAATGGCAAAGAATGATTTATTCTCAGAATCAGATTTAGCATTCTGATTTATGATTTAGAATGATTTATGATTTTTTTTTTGATTTAGAATGATTTAAATCAAAAAAAATCATAAATCATTCTAAATCATAAATCAGAATGCTAAGATAGACCTAAAAAAATAAAATTGAGTAATTGAATTCAGTAAAGACACATTTCAATTTTGGACGGTATCTTTCTTACTGAAAGATTTGCTATTTGGTTGATAATTTTACAACAGATATTCAATGCTAGCCCTGGTCACTATAGTACATGATTCCAATTGTTTTTAAATGACCTCTTCATTTAAAAATGTTCTGTTAGTATTCAATAAATTAGCAGAAACTATTTGATGCCATAACTTGTAGCTACGATTAAACTCATGAGATTATACAGGATTTTTCACTTCCGATAAGTTGTCTTTGACTATAATCCCACTTCTTCTTCGTCTTCTTATTATGTAGACATGACGCTGTCTGTTTTTTAATATGCCTCCAGTAAGTTGTCGTTCCGCCTCGTCGGCAAAAGGACGACGAAAAATGAAGATTGGTAACATATTGACAAAGGGCGTTTAAAACAGCATAAGTGGTGACACGTTGAAAGTACGGCTACTGAATGTCGGCACAGAGAAAAACTCTAGGAGAAAGATAAGAAAATCTTGCTATATTTTACGATTTGAACACAAGAGTAACTCAGACTTACCGCTTAAATTACGAGTTCCCGATCACACAACGATCTGGGACATGAAATTATGATTGGCAGAGATAACCAGACTCATGAACTGAAAAGAAGAGTCGGCCTTGGGTGGGCAGCATTTGGAAAACTGAGAGAAACTTTTAAAAGTGAGCTGCCCACATGCCTAAAGAGAAAGGTATTTGATCAGTGCGTCCTCCCAGTCTTGACGTACGGAGCAGAAACACTTACCTTAACAAAAGCAGCAGCTACCAAACTGAGAGTCACACAGAGAAGAATGGAGCGATCTATTTTAGGAATAACTCTCCGAGACAGAATAACTAACGAAGACATCAGGAGAAGAACCGGAGTGACTGACATCATCGAGAAGATAGCCAGACTAAAATGGAGATGGGCAGGACACATAGCCAGAATGACAGATGGGCGATGGACAAAGAGGTTATTGGAGTGGAGGCCAAGGGAAGACAAGAGAAGCGTCGGTCGACCACCTACAAGATGGACTGACGATTTAAGAAAACTCAATAAAAACTGGATAAGAGCGGCGCAAGATAGACGGGATTGGAAACATGAGGAAGAGGCCTATGTTCAGCAGTGGACTCTTGAGGCTGGATGATGATCACACAACACATTTTAACGTTAACCGCCATTACAATAACAACACTAATAATCAATCGAAATAAAGGCGTTTGTGTGTTTTATGCTCTTTTTTCCAG